CCAATGTTAACAATAGATACTTAACTACTGGCCTCTTTTTTGACTTGTCGAAAGCATTCGACTTAGTGTCACACGATATCCTACTTAAAAAGCTTGAGATTTACGGAATCAGAGGTCCTACGCTTTCATGGATAACTTCCTACTTACACGATAGACAACAATGTGTCATTGTCAATAGACTTAACAAGAAAAAAGATATTGTCTCTTACTCCTCGGAGTACAAACATAATAAACTTGGCGTTCCCCAAGGCAGCGTACTTGGCCCAATACTATTCTTACTGTACATAAATGACATAATCAGCATTACAAAACATAAATGTATATTGTTTGCAGATGATATATCTTTTATAGTATCATCTGATAAAAAATACTACACCATCACAGATCATGAGATAGAAATTAATAATACAATCAGTAAGTTATTAAACTGGCTTGACGCAAATCGTTTAAAAATAAATCTGGATAAATCTGTTTATATTCAATTCCATCAATTAAATAATATTAATAACACAAATAACCTCAATGTAAACAAAATTAAAGAAGTATCACATACTAAATTCTTAGGTGTAACAATAGATAAAGATACCAATTGGAAAGAACACGTCGATAATATAAGTAAAAAAATTAATAAGTTTGTTTATGCACTAAAACACGTAAAAGACATAACCAACCAAAAAACTGCGATTATCTGTTATCATGCGTATGTAGAATCACTGTTACGATATGGTCTCGTAGTGTGGGGTAATAGCACCGATGTAAGTCGAGCATTTATAGCCCAAAAGAAATGCATTCGTGCAATTTGTGGACTCCAACCTGAAGTCTCATGTCAACCAGCGTTTAAGAGACTTGGTTTGTTACCTTTACCGGCTCTCTATATTTATGAAATATGTGTATTCACTGCCAAAAATAAACATTTATTTAAAACGGCGAATGACTTATGCCAAAGAAATAGACGTGATGTTCATAGGCTAGTTGTGAATGATTTCCCGCGGCTAACAAAATACAACAAAAACTGCCTTGCCATGTGTGTAAAATTGTACAATCACTTGCCAACTGAGTTTAAAATGTTAAATATAAGATTATTAAAAATTAAACTACATAAATGGCTGATTGAACATAACTTTTATAGTGTAAAGAATTTTATGGAAAAAAGAACATAGTTATTAGTTATTAGTAGAACATAGTTAGAGATTTGTCGGCAATTATATTAAAATGATGGTTAAATATGAATAAGTGATAATAATAAATAGTCCTAGTACTTAATATGTGTAATAATTTTTTGTAAATAAAGTGTCGGTACTTATAAGTCAGTAACTAGAACACTGACAAAGTAACTGTCCAATTAATATATTTTGTAGCTCCTAATATTTAATTTTTGCATGCTGTTTTATTAGCTGAACATGTTTGTGCCTATTGTAAACCTAAGACCTTTTTATACCATGTTTACTGCAAATAAATGTTTTTATTATT